TCGTTCTATTTTTTGTTCTATATGCTTTGGGGTGGTGTTTTAAAACAGGCTAAGTAACTGCAAATCTGGGTGTGTTGAGATTGCTGTTTTGAGCCATTCGTCTTAAGATGCCAAAGATGCTGCATCTTCTATTACAGCAATTGCAAAAAAAAAAAAAAAAAAAAAAAGTTATGTACTGTCGCGATGTACTCCACAATTATTAAACATGTACTTTATTTTGTATCTTTTTGGAGCAAGATGCATTTTGCATTTTGATTTTTGAACATATACTGCATCTTGCATTTTAATTTTAGTTTTGGACATGCTGCAATATTTGGTCTTATCGGTCTGGGTCGGTTTATAAATATTCCTTTTCATTTTTTATAATGTTCTTAAAATTTAAATTTATTTTTTGTTTCAAAAAAAGATAACATATACTCCATCTGAACGTGATATTAACAATTTTTATTTTTGTTTTCTGAAATAAAAAAGTAAAAACTTAATTTGAAAACTTCAAAAATAAGATAAAATAAAAAATTAAAAATCAATATCCTTTTTGGACATTCCAATTCTATGACCTTTTTAGGCATTCAGAAAGTTCCTTTCCGTATGAGGTTCTTTTTATGCATGTTTCAATTTTTTTCATTTTTTTCATATTCTCTCCGTCTCCAATTTGATTACAAATTGAAATTTATGAGGAGAAATTTTTTGATTTTTGAAATTATTTTATTTACAAATTGGAATATGAATAAAAAATAAAAATTACTACTTCCGTCCCAGAGTATTTGTCCACTTTCATTTTTGCACACCATCCAATACAGTTCTTTAATCTATTTTATCTTGTAATTTGTATATTAAAAAATTATAGAAATTATATATTAATAATCTATATGTTAAGACAAATCAAACAAAATCACACATGACTATATTTAGGCTTACACATAGAGAGAATTTGATGAGTCAAAGTGCTTAGATGAACAGTTTCAAAAATCAAAAGTGGACGAATATAGCAGGACGGAGGGAGTACATCTCAAAAAACTATGTCAAAAGTTCTACAAAACAAGAGGTGAGAACAATATATATTTTATTCTATCAAATACTTAATGAAATCGTGTAAGCAAACAAAAGCTATTGAGAGGAGAGAGAAAAAAATTGTAAAGTATTTTCTTTATTCTGGATTTTCTTTTTGAACTTACTTGAAAAATTTTCTAGAAAACAAAAAGTGAAAATACTTAATTAATTTGAGATAGATGGAGTATATTTTAATTGTAAACACAAAGAATTTAGAATTTTTTTAAACATCATAAAAACTTAAAAATAAAATTTAAAAAATCTAGGAAAAGGAAACAAATTGTTAAAAAAAAAAGCGATAAAAAAGGAAAATAAAAACCAAATAATAAACGAAAAATAATGATCGAGTGCCCCTATAATTTAGAAAATACGCATCAATGTCCCTTTTCACCAAAAAATGATCAGAGAGGGTGTGATTGCAACATTTTGAAACCACAAGAACGTTAGAGATAAATTTTGACAACAAAAGAGATATTGATGCTAATGTTTTAAACCACAGGGGGCACAGAAGCTATTTAGCCACATATATTACAAAAATATAATCTTTCAAAACTATATTTAAAATAAATTTATTGATATTAAATTTACATCACAATTTATAGTAATTTTTCCATATTTAAAAATTTTCAAAAATTAATCATGAGAGTCAATGGGAAGATTATACCGAAATGGGATGGAGTTGTAGCTAGGTTAATAATTGTGAGACGGTGCGGCGAGGGAGTATGCCTTTCCACATTGCCACGAGGAAGGTGTTAATTTGGTTATCAACCATCCATCCTGATGTTACGCGCGAAACATGTTTTTCAACCATAGTCAGGCAATTTATTAACCACGGTTACCTTAAACTCGGTTCCTTTTAAAAAACCTTACATTGCACAACATGGGCATTCGTACACGACACGAACAGACGACAGAATTGAACCATACCAATTCACATGAGCAAAGATTAACACGTAACTCTCTCTCTCTCTCTCTCTCTCTCATGGCGTTCTATATCGAAGAAGAGGTGTGGAAATGTCCAAAACACCCCTCAAAGCGTCGCAGAAACGGAGTGTGCCCCGTTTGCCTCAAGGACCGTCTCGTCATTCTCTGCCCCGACTGCGCTAACGTGCGCCCCTGCTCTTGCGCCGCCGCCACTTCGGCTTCTTCATCCTCCGACGGACAGCCGAACTTATTACGACGGTCTGGATCCGTCGGGATCAACTTTCTCCGGTTCAGTTACGCTCGCTCTTTCTCCGGCCGGACGAACCCGACGGGGACCGGAAAGAGCAAGACGCCGTCGTTTTGGTCGATCGTCTTGCGGTCGAGCAAGAGCATGAGGGAACCTGCAGGAGTATAGGGAAAACGGTTACCGGGACGAGAAAATCGCGGAGTTCACGGGGCTAATGATGAGGTCGAGATCAGGTTCCGGAAATTGCGAACAGGGTGGACGGCGGCACTTTCCCGGCCATATGAAGATTTCCCGGCATTCCAACCAGGCGAAAGTGGTTCAAGCTAGAGCGTTACCCGTCGTGTAATGTTTGACTACTGCTTTGGTTATAGGGCGTATTATGTTTCTTTTCTTTTCGGATTGGTACTTGTCTACTTTTCTTTAACAAGTTATTTAATTTAGGGGTTATAGTACTGAAATATAACGAGTATCATATATTTTATTTCTTAATCTAGTATTCAGGAGAGTACATTAGTCAAGTACTCCCTCCGTCCCCCTAAGATGTTCTCATTTTGACTTTTGGTGGTTTTTAAGGAGAGTTGAAAAAAGGTGAAAGTTTACCATAATACTCTTAATGAAAAATGGGTGGAGTGTATTAAATGAGGTGGGTGAGGTGTAATAAATAAAGTAAGTGGGAGTAGTTTTGGTATTTTAATTGTTAAAAAATGAAATGAGAAGATCTATTGTGGACAAAGAAAAAGGGCTATTGAGAAGATCTATGCGGGACGGAGGGAGTATATGTTAACTGATACTAGATATTGTTCAAAGTAAATGTTCATCGCCATTAGACATTGTTTCTGTCACTAAACATTATTCAAGTCCTATTTAGATAATAACAAATTTCATGTACTACATTAAGTAAAGATATACTTTTTATGTCCCTAAGTATTTTGTCCACTTTTAACTTTTTTCAGTTAAATTTGGTAAAATTTGACCTTAAATTAAACAAAAAATGATATTAGATATTGATACAAAATTAGTTTTATTAGATATATTATCTGAAACATTTTCGAAATATTATTTTATCTAATTAATATTATATATAGATATATTTTATTTAATTATAGATCAAAAGTTGAAAAAAGTTAAAACTGGACATATACTTTTGGACGGAGGTAGTACTTTTTAGTACTCCCTCCATCCTAAAATTTTCTTCCCAGTTCAACTTACGAGGTTTGGCTGAAATTATTCATTTCAGTTTATTTGATTATAGGTATAAAATTAAAAAATAAAAATCATATATTTAAAAACTATTTCAAAAGTTTTACAAAATAAGAGATTGCATGACTATATTATTTTATCATATAACTAATGAAAATAGGTAACGAGTGTCATTACAATTTGACCATATGTATAGTGTCTGGGTAAAAGCAATTCTCTACTAATGTATACAAAAATGAGGGTAAAAGCGGGTAGATCTGTTTGTGTTCATTATAAATAAAGATTGTAAAGATTATTTAATTTATACATCTTATGCATCTAAACAAGCATTACTCCATAAGATTAGTGATCAGTTTCCCAACAAAGACTATCTCTATCCCTCTACTTCACTCACTTCAAATATGTAACCAAGCGTCAATCACCGTTGAGTGCACTCATTCTTTCACTCAATAATATACGTCGCCCTCCCCTTGCACTGCAATGATTAAAGGATTAATATTAGTTAAAAAAAATTATTTATTTTTTATTTAAATTGAATTATATCTTTTAAATAAAAATAAATAATTTATTTTTAATATTTTTAAAATTTCTTGATTTTTTTATTTTATTTTGTTCCGTCCAATGCTTTTTTGCTGTAATTTTTTTCATCCAAAACATTTTTTTTTCTTTACACTTTTTTATATTTTTTTTGTTGGGATTGCTTTTTTTATGTAGTGTTGCTTCATATGACACATTTAAAAAAACTGTATATTTTTTCTTTTATTTTTTCTAGCATAATAATAAACAAAAAAACTTATTAGCATAAACTAGTTTAATTTAAAAAGAAAAAAGCATGATAACATAATCTATAATTATAATGCATTTCATTCTAAAAATAATAACAATAAAACACTCCATACTTTGTTCAATTCAGAAGTGTTTGGGTGAAAAATATAAATGAGATATAATTTGTAATTAATTAAAACAAGTTTCATTCTAAAATTATTATCATAACAAAATATAGTTTATTCAATTTGGAAGTGTTTAGGCAAAAGATGTAAGCAAAAGTGTGAAACATTACGTAAAAATTAAATATGCAATATTAGTGCCGTTGGTTGGGCATATCTCCTGAAAAGAGTTATGACGACATATTATTTGTCAATTAATGATTTACGTACAAGAAATTGTAACGCCCCAAAACACAACCTAAAAGTATATTGAATTATTATTCAACTAAAAAAATTTTGTTTGGATTAAAATAAATTATTGTGGGGTCTTGGATCGAAATTGAATGTGCTGATATCCAATCTGGATTAATCTCATGGAGATAAAATTCAATATGTTGATTGTTTGTATGATCTCTATTGCGAACCAGAGTACATATCCAAATCAAAAATAAATAAAGAATTTGATTTATGATGTGAACTTTTGAGATGATTTATTAAAATAAATCATGAAAGCAAATAATAGGAATTGAATATGACAATCTTTCGAATAAAACAGTAACTAAATCAATTTTGACTCTGTCAAGTCAAACTCCCAAAAATATGATGTCAGAAAAATTATTACAAATAAATATAAAAATTATATCGTTGGATAGAGTTTGACTCTCTGATGGCAACGGTGCTAACAGATTTCAATTCGGAGAAAGTTGGGCCAAAAAGTGTACCCCGACTAGGACCAAACTGTTCCCAATCAAGGAGAGACGTGTGAAGAACTCCTGGATTGCCTCTTAGTGCACTAGCCAAATGTATAGTGCATGCCATTAACGCAGAACTCGTGTCTTCTACCCCTCACTATTCCAATATAAGGAGTACTCAACTCCTTCATTTCTTCACCATTCTTCATAATTCCTTCTTCTATTCTGTTGCTCTGAGTGTTAAGAACGCAATGGTTCTCTCCATATAGTGAGAGGTTGTCAAAGTTGATCGTAATCGTCACTGGAAGTTTCGCCGGAATTTTCCTAAAACCTTCATTTTTGCCTGAGGTAAGCTCTTAGATATATCTAGTGATTTGGATGTTCATATAGATCGCTTATATGTTCATAAACGATCATTTAGTTTAGTTTTGTGTTTGACACGCTTGAAGAACCACGAATCAAAAACCTTGAAATTGTTGTTAAAACTTCGAATTAATGATACCAAAATGATGTTTGAAATCTTGAGAACATTTCTATATAGTTTAATTGAAGTTTGATGACTACAAATGATGTTTTCAAAAATTGGCCCGAGGTTGAAGATGACACTTTCAAAACTGACGCAGACACGATATCGAACTAGCGCTCGGACGGTACCTAGGTACCGCCGGTAACATCAGGCCAGCTACCGTCACAAGCCACTTTCCTGTAGAAATATTATTAGAACTGAACTTGATGATTTGATTACATATAAATCCGCTATTTATAATAGCTACAAGACCAAGACCTAATTACGAGCCCAACAAGAATGAGCCTGTTAACAACAAACCCTACTACATTCCTTAACACTCCCTCTTAAGTTGAGCATGAGGTTAACGAATGCACAACTTGGACAATTAAAAGAAAACTAAGACTAAAAAAAATTTGATAAACAACTTGAACTTGATCTGCTGTGACAACAATGAACGAAGGTGACCGGCCCTGCAAACGAACAATAAATTTTGATGACGAATGACTCCCACGCGGTGACACGGGGACGACTAACAAGCATCCCAAACTTGGAGGCTGTGTTGCCGGACTGAGGCGCGACTATGCGACCAACCTCACAAATTGATATGTCGGACTGAGGCGCGACTATGCGACCAACCTCACAAACATACATGCCGAACATACAGCTGGTTGCACTTGAACATACGAAATAGCAACCAAAGACAATGTCATCAAAACGTCAACAAAACGGCTGGACGAAATACTTAACATGAACCTCTTCGGCAGACTGCAAACAAAATCAATATCCACTAAGATTTTTGTTGGATCTGGATGAAACCACATAACCAAAAGATTATGACACCACAACTTGATAATTGCGGCTAGGTGCATATTTTGACAATACCTATTTTGAAACTCTCTTGATGATGGATGTTGGATGACGATTCGGAAAAGTGAGGACGGACGAACCAGGTTGAGAGGATGGATTTGTTGGGTCGGGACGGATGAACGAAGCTGCGAAGCTGCTATGACGGATGATTCTGCTGGACGAGCAGATCTGCTTGGACGAAATCTGCTGGACGGGCAAATCTGCTATATCGCTGGAGCAGACAGACGGATCTGCTCGGCGAACGGAACTGCCAGACGGACGGTCGGATGGATCTACCGGACGGACGGATGGATTTGCTGGAAGGACGGACGGAACTCCCGGGAACTACTAGGGATGACTGTTGCCGGACGGATGGATCTACTGGACAGAACTTCTGACGGACAACAGCCCGGCGGACGGCTAATGGTGGTGGCGCCGCCCGCCAGGAGCGAACGAAACAATTTTTAGGCCACCAAGAACGTTGGCTCCGATACCATGTAGAAATATTATTAGAACTGAACTTGATGATTTGATTACATATAAATCCGCTATTTATAATAGCTACAAGACCAAGACCTAATTACGAGCCCAACAAGAATGAGCCTGTTAACAACAAACCCTACTACATTCCTTAACATTTCCTCTAGCGGTACCTGACATCATGCGATACCCCATATCGTCTAGATTGTACCGAGGTACCATGTACCGGTACCAAGGTACCGTTACAGGTACCGTTTGGTCCAATAAATTTTTCCACAAACCCAATTTTTGAACTGTAAAATCTTACTTTTGATACTATTCAACTATGATCAATATGAAAATGGTTTCTAGAAATGAATATAATGATTGAACCATGATTAAAAACACAAATATCCTGATTTAAATGATATTATGAAAATGATATTGAATATTAAGGCTATCTAGAAAAACTCTAAGATAGACCACATCTGACTTAGTTAATTTGGGCCTTGCAGGTATGAAGTTTGGTGGCCTGGGTAAAAATGTACGTGCGGGATCTGCAAACGAAACTAGAGGATAACTCGTTTGGGGATACCTCCCACCCAATAGTGAGTAGTCCCTTGTTTGGTTATTTTTGTGTTGTACCTTTCACTAATTATATTTTAAGAGTTGGTTACAAAAATGTACCTTAAGCTAATTGTAGGTTATGAGTTAGTTAGAAATATGTACGTTAAGCTAATT